CACTTCATTGACTATGTCGGGTAGCCTATTTTACATGCCTCTGTCGGCAGAGGCATGTAGTCTAGACATACCCTGGGTGTGGCCCCTGCTTGTAACTTGATTCCAGCAGCCTGGGCTGTACACCTGTGTAGCCAGGCAGAGCTGTTAGGTGCACCTGTGGAGCATCCCCATGCTCCAAACTGGAGCAAACCCTGCCAGTGGAATTGAATGGGTCCTGTCCAGACGAGGGGGCTGCCCTGGCTCAGCGTATAGCCCATGGCAGAGCAGGCATTGCTCCCTGAACTCTTGGGAGATGAGGCAGTGGGTACGATGGGGCACACGGTCTCAGCAAGTTTCCCCCTCACTAATGGAAGTGGTGTCCCATTCCCTGGTGATTCCTGTGGCCCTCACTTGGGGCTGTGGCAGGATCCCTGGGATTTCCTAATGGGCTCTTTGGCTGCAGGGTGGAGGGGACTGCCCGGAGATGAGTGTTGGAGCCATCCAGCTGGCTGTGGAGGTCTCGCACCCGGGATCCTTTATCTACGTCTTCTCGGACGCTCGGGCCAAAGACTACAAGCGCAAGGAGGAGTTGCTGCAGCTCCTGCAGCACAAACAGTCCCAGGTGAGTGTCTGGCTACTGGCTGGCAGCTGCCTTCCAGGGAAATGTCCCTTCTCTGTGGCCCCCAAGCCACTGAACACCCTCTCTCTGAATGCGCAAAGTAGCGAAGAGCTGCACACAAGAAGCCTTTTGCCAAGTACCATAGCACTCCAGTGTATTGGGCCTAAGCACCATGTATTCTTTGCCATCTGCTAGTACATCTTCTGTTGGCTAACTCTTGTCATATAGACAGACATGGAGCATTCTCAAAACAGTTGTTCACATTGTAGCTGGCGCATGCCAACCTCCTGCCAGGGGGAGAGGTGTGAGGATGGTTGGCAGTTCCCCAGGTTGGGCAGACTTTTCTGACTTTGCATTTCTCTGTGGCAGGTGGTGTTCGTGCTAACGGGAGATTGCGGGGACAGAAGCCACCCTGGGTACCGAGTGTATGAAGAAATTGCTGCTACCAGCTCTGGGCAGATATTCCATTTGGATAAACACCAGGTGAAGGAGGTGAGTGGAAAAGGTCTGAATTCTGTCCCTCGGGAGCATCTGAGCTCTCAAATGCCCTTGCGCAGAAAAATGATAAAAGACAGAAACACCATGGATGAAGGCTTTCCACAGAGCAATTGCTCCCTATCAGACCTCTCAGTCCCCAGCTGCAAAGGGAACTTGCCCAATGCCATCTAAAGCCCAGCCTGGGAGCTTCAATTCTTAACTTTGCCAGATACTAAAAATCAGGGATTGGACAGTGACACGGGATTTATGGCTCCTTACAACAATCTCTAGCTCCCTTCCCCCGCCAGTCTTTTATCTTTCCCCCTGTGACTGGAGGGATATTAATGACCCACTTCACTTGATTGGTCCATTGGAATACGTGTTAACTTCACAATCTGTTCCACTTTGAATTGAGCTGGGATGCTTGGAGCACCTTTCTCAGACCGGAAGGAAAGATCGAAGTAGCTCAAAAGCTCGTCTCTCTCACCACCAGAAGCTGGTCCAGTAAAAGAGATCGCCTCACTCAACTTGTCACTCTAGTATCCTGAGACCAGCACAGCCCTGCATGCGAGAATGGAGGACGTGGATTGTTTTTGCAGTCTCCTTTAAGTTTGGAGTGATGGGGATGGGGCGTTGAGATTATGAGGATCACAAGCCTCTCTTGTTTGCTGGCTTGATCCCCTTTCATTCCGGTGGACTCATCGGCTATGTCTAGACTGGCATGATTTTCCGAAAATGCTTTGAACGGAAAAGTTTTCCGTTAAAAGCATTTTCGGAAAAGCGCGTCTAGATTGGCAGGATGCTTTTCCGCAAAAGCACTTTTTGCGGAAAAGTGTCCATGGCCAATCTAGATGCGGTTTTCCGCAAAAAAGCCCCGATCGCCATTTTCGCGATTGGGGCTTTTTTGCGGAAAACAGTACTATGCTGTCTACACTGGCCCTTTTGCGCAAAAGTCTTTCGGAAAAAGACTTTTGCCCGAACGGGAGCAGCATAGTATTTCCGGAAAAGCACTGACAATCTTACATGAGCTTCAAGGTGGCCGGTGTAGACAGCTGGCAAGTTTTTCTGGAAAAGTGGCTGATTTTCCGGAAAAACTTGCCAGTCTAGACACAGCCATCATGTTAGCCGTGCAAGGCTCTTTTGTCTTTACTGCCATCAGATGAAGTGCTGGGGAGGCTTAAATTGCTGGGCCACGGACGGTTGGTTATCCCTTAGGGACTTCATGGAGCTTTGGACATCCAGAAGACCTGCCATCTGTTTCTGGCTGCCTTGGAGCTATCTGCATGACCTTGGGTGAGGTCGTGCTTCACTGCTCTGGGGCTCTGTTTCCCCCTCTGTAGCGTGGCGGTTATACCTCCCTCTTGGGAGTTGAGGAGTAAGGCCAAAACTTTAAAACCAGGACCTTGGTGGGAGCTGTTGGGTCCTCCACACCTTTGAAAATCAGACAGGTTCCTAACTATGGCTGCAGGAGCCTGACTTTAGATGCCTGCCTTTGATGGTCCCAACCCAGCACGTCTGTGAAGTGCTTGGAGGGCTGGTGTGGGAGCCGAGTGTTTGTCTAATTATTAGCAACAGTTTGGGAGAGATGAGCTCTCCTGCTCCCCTCCCCTCCCCAGCTGCTGACTGTTGCACAGACAAGTATTCCCGGGGGCAAGGTGCAGGGTAATTGCTCGTCTGCTCTGAGCGGCTGCGTGGGAGCCATCTGGCAATAATAATTACGCCAGATTCTATAATTCCTCGAACATCAGCAAGTGTGTGTGTTTGCTTTGTAATGGGAAAGGATCAGCCTGTGCCACTGTCTCCTTTTCCCTGCACCCTGCCTCCCTCCCTGCTCCAGCACCTGCAAGCCCACGTGTTCGGAATAAACCATTAAGGCTGGCTCCTCAGAGGCTGTATCAGGCCATGAAGTCCTGTCAGGTGATGCCAGCTGAGGATTTGGCCCTTGATTCTGTGCAGACTATTTTCTTTGTTCCCCTTATCTGGGGCCAGCTCCCTGTAAGGTGATGCCAGCTGAGGATTTGACCCTTGATTCTATGCAGACTCTTTTCTTTGTTCCCCTTATCTGGGGCCAGCTGCAGGGTCCATTGGACCCCGTAAGTCCCACTGTAACCTGTATTTGTGTATAAGGTGTGACAGGCAAACTGAAGTACTCAAGTGATATGTGTTAGTCTGGTGTAGCTGAAGCAAAATGCAGGACAATGTAGCACTTTAAAGACTAACAAGATGGTTTATTAGATGATGAGCTTTCGTGGGCCAGACCCACTTCCACTGTTTGATCTGAGGAAGTGGGTCTGACCCATGAAAGCTCATCATCTAATAAACCATCTTGTTAGTCTTTAAAGTGCTACATTATCCTGCATTTTGCTTGAAGTACTCAGGCATCTGAGTATCCCGCAACCTGTAGTGTATTGCTCCTCACCATCCCCCAGTGAGGTAGGGCAGGACTTTTGACCCCACTGTACAGGTGGCAAGCTGCGGCGGGGAGAGAGAGCCTGTGACCGAGCATGGAGCAGACTCTCCGGAGTGCCAGGAGCTGGGAGTCCAGTCACCCTGAAAATGGCATCGTCCTTCCTTGTTAGGAGCAGACTGGGTTCAGGACTCCTGAGCTCGGCCCTGGAGATGGGAGGGCTCCCTTATCCTGGTTATTGCCCTGGGTGAGGGGAGGAACCAGAGTTGGATTTCTGGGTTCATGTGTAGTCCCCCCTCTCCCCCGTCCTGTCACTTCTCTGTGTGCAGGGTTTATAGGGAGCAGGGGCTGGATTTCCGCATGCAGGGGCGACTGGGGAGGAAGGATACAAGAAGGGCACTGGCCATGTGATCGCCCCTCCACGTGACTCCTTCCCATGCCATCCCTTGCCTGGGGGAGGGCCAGGACAATGCCAGATCTGTCCCAGGCCCTGCTCCTGCCCCATCTCTTCCTGCCTTCACCCTCCTCTGCTTTGTCCTGACCCTTTCCCCCCAATCCCCTCCCCCAAGTGACGCAGGGTGGGGAGCTAGTGGGGGCTGGCGCTGACAGCAGGGGTCGGGTACCCTGGACTCACCAGCAGCAGTGGGAGACAGCGGAGTGACACGGCCCTACCTCGCTCTGCTCCCGGCCATGTCGCTCCAGTTCCCGCTGGTTAGTCTGGGGGTGGGGGAGAACAGTCCTCCCCCATGAGTGACACAGCCGGGAACCGGGGAAGCGGAGCTGCGTTGCTCTGCTTCCCCCTGCTGTCGCTGGTGAGTGCGGGGGGAGCCCGATCTCTGCCTCTGTGCCCAGCCTCCCTTGCCCCAC